AAACTTCTTTGCTGAACACACGTGTCACGAGAGTTTCTCTGAGATGAATGGGGTAAACCTTACAACTAGCTGGAGAGTCAAGGATAGCACTTTTCCAAACGGCACAAGGTATTGGGTGGTGAAAGTTTCAGTTTTCTTCATTATATGAAATGCACTTACAGTGCTAGGAAATAAACCTGACAAGGGCCCAGTGTAGTCATGAACCTTTTGGTTCTTGGGAAATTATCAGAAAACTCCAGCACATACAGACTATCTTGTGAATCTTTTTCTGCTCTTTATTTGGAATGTCAGCAGCAATAGGAGAACCAGAAATTCTTTTTCAGCTATGCAAAGCTCATTAGGCAGTATCCACAAGTAGGAGACACCAGCTCTTTTCCCCCTTTATAGTCTCAGCCATAAAAATGTAGTAATAAGCAGGACCTGATTTTCTGCGTGTTTGTTTAGCCACAATTTCTTCAAACATTTCTGTCTGCAAAGTAAGACTTTTTCTAAAATCAGAAGTATAACTTGAACTCATGTGTGTCTATATCTAATTCAAACTACCTCCTCCTCCCCTTAGAGTTAGACAGGGGTATGAATTTTGTTTAAAAAGCATCTCTCTTCTAGCAGAATATTGCCATCTTGGATTTTTGCCCACGTGCACAGAGTAGATCTGTCCTTCACTATGATGTCTACCTTCAGTGGTCTTCTCCTGAGCGTTCTGGAACACGGTGATGAAAGAACTGATGTTTCTTCCATCATGTGTCATTACTCATCTTTCTCTCCTCCTAAAACTTTCTCTTTTCAGCCAGCCCCTTTTCACTTCCCCTCCCACCAGGGAAGGTTTCTGTGTACATGAAGTAGGTCATAAGCTTAGCACAGCTCTTTTCCCAGGCCAGGTTCCCAGCTTGCATTTCAGAGAGAACAAGAATGGGGTGTATGTCTGGGTCATCATCTGACAGCTATTATTTTCTCTATTCTGCCAGAGGCCTAGGAGCTCCAATCAAGGGATGTAGATGCTGTATCTGAAATATTTTGGGTCTTCTGTAGTAATTGTCAGGTTCGGCCGGCACGGCGCTTCGGGGAAGCTTGCAGCCGCACCGCACGAACTCCGCCGGCGGTGGCCAGCCGAGAGGAAGAGGGACCGGAAGCGGCGCTAATTAATTGGCCACCCG